TATTTATTTATTTATTTATTTATTTATTTATTTATTTATTTATTTATTTATTTATCTATCTATCTATATATATATATTTATCTATCAATATCCCTCTCTATTCTCTTCCTACTGAATATGCCTTTAGAAAAAAAACATTTAGGGTTCAAGCATCCTTACGCCCCACTTGTTCCTTTTTTTCCCTCTCTCTCTCTCGGTCTGCCCGAATGAATGGTCACTGGGGGATAATGAAACTCGGGTGCATGCGTGATCAATCTTAATTGCCTCTAGACCCGACCGAGTGTTTTGGCATGCTGCTTAGCTCAGCATGGCTTGACACTAGATCCGAGGTATGCAGGCTTTGTATTTCATCTGTAATGGTTTGTAGAAAAGAAGCGGGCCACCCCCTACAAATGGGTATGTGAAAGTTGGAAGAGCAGTTGGGTAGTGGCCAGGAGCTGGTATCTAAATTAGTTAAAGTTCGCTAGCATTGGTAATCGGTGAATTAATCAGTATATGATTTTATAAACAAAAGGAAGGCCGATGCGATATGAGCAAATTTCTGAAAACATAATTGATTAAGCATTATTTATTTGCCAAGCCTGGTTGCCTCGATTCTCATCATTCTCTCTCTTTCACTCCTCACCTTAGCTTCCTGTCGAATCAAAGCGATCCGGAATGGTATGAACTTCACATCGCCGTGAAGGACTACTGCTTTGGGCGCACAGACCGCCTTGTCGGTGTTACGGTGTTGTCTTTGGCGCACGCACTCGACCTGGGCGCCACGCCGATGCGGCTGCCGTTGGGTCGCCGTCTGCATCTCAATGAAACCGGATGGACAGTCCTGCGAATTCTCTCGCAACGGGTGAAAAGTGACGAAATAGCTCGAGATTTCGTCAAAGCCAAATCCGAGTGTCGTCCCTCACCGGAGCAAGAGTCTGCAGGAATGCAAGACGGCATTTAGAGTGAATGCAATATATTTTAAATTAAGAATGTCGCCTACTTAAATATGCTATCAGTAGCGTAATATAATTTATATATTGAGCTGAGCCTCAAGAGAGGCAAAATGCTCTTGTGTCTATTTTCTCATGCGGAAACGTACAGATATACCTAACTGAAAAAGGAATATATTTATATATCAATTGCTGATCAGTATCAAGCTATATTTATAAATATAGCGTGGCATTTCCTCATTGTATCATCCCTCGCGATTTCTCAGAAAAATGCAAAATTTCTCTACCTGAAAGTTATTTATCCAATTTGGCCTTATTGGCACTACTTCTCGTGTACATTTTTTTGACAATGACAGAAAATTTTCTTATTTTTTCTTACTTGCTCATGGAAGCTGCAACAAGCCCTGTAAAGCAAGCTCTGTAAACAAGCCGAAAAATTCACCGCTATCTTATTAATTTTTTTTATTCGACCACAATCGAGGAGCAAGCTAGAATGCCATGTGGAATAGAGGCTGCATTTTAATTTTAACTAATGTAGACATCAGAGGCTGCCACGAAAGTGAATCCCAGGGTGAGCAGAGTAAATTTCGTCGTCTGTTTACCTAAAATACACACCTATTTAAGGTAGATAGTCGAGAAGAGCAGTTTGAGGCGCCAACTTGATAGTGTGAGCCAATAGAGGTTGTAGATACGAAGATAAAATTGGGGTTCGATGAATCTCCTGAGATAACATTGTTAGGGAACTTTCATTTCGTATGAAAGTGCATAAAGAAGATAGTCGTAGGTCGATCTCACCGGAAGAGGACGGATGAATCCTGCTATACTGCAGCCGTTTGGCTTTTATATGACATTTACGTTGACGCAATCCATGAGACCTGCGTCGTTTCAGGTGAATACTGGCTGGGATTTGGTCCATCATTCGATGGACATCATCAGAGCTGGGTCTCATTTCTGTAAAAGTATCTTGTTAACAACAGGGCAAGGAGACTTTCCGGCTCTATTGTACCTCTTTTATAGGCGAAAATAAAAAAAAACTAGAGCGATTGATATAGA